GTAAGTATACACTAGAACAAAAAGTGATGAATGAAACTACAAAAGCTTACCATTTCAAAATCACTTAATTGAGAGCTTTACTTCATCTACTTTCCCGATTGCCTCAAGTATCATGGAACACTAATAAGATCATACTTAAAACCTTTTTCACTCATCTCTTTCATTACCTTAGCAGCCTCCTCAAACATACCAGCACGACTAAGAACTCCAAGGACCGTGTTATAAGATATCACATCAAGCTTGATTACTGAAATTTTCATTCTTGTCAACATATCCATTGCTTGTTTAGGGCCACCAGCCCTAGCTATCCCATTCAAAATAATATTATATGAATTGATATCAGGGTTGCATCCTTCTTCTTGCATCTGTCTAAGCAAGGAATAAGCCTCATTAACCATACCTGCCCTCACCATGCCAGACATGAGAGCATTATATGAAAAGACATTTGGAGTATGGCCAAGTCTTTTCATTTCATCAAATAGACCGATTTCTTCTTTTATATGCCTTCTTTTGCCAATGTGTTTAATCATCACAGCATATACCCTAGAAATAGAAGTCCCACAATTCTCTTTCAATTCTTGAAACAACTCATTTGTAGCTTCATAGTGCTTTGATTTTCCTAGAGCATCTATCAGACTATAAGCAGCTAGACAAGGTGGAAAACCCTTCTCATCCATCTCCTCAAACAGCAGTAGTGTTTTCTCCAGCCTCCTGGCCTTGTAAAACCCATCAATAAGAATTGAGTATGTATAAGAACTAGGAGTAATACCCTTTTCCTTCATTTTTTCGAACCAACAGGTGGCGTCAAATGCTGGAGCATTTGACTTAAAGAGAGCTTTTATGACAATATTGTAGGTCACCACATTAAGGGGGAATCCAAATGTCTCCAGTTGCCCAAAAATTTTAAGCACATCATCAAGCTTGCCTGCCTCCCCCAAAATGTTGATCAAGTTATTCATCAGGACAACATCAGGCCTACAATCCTTGGCCTGCATATCACAAAATATTTGGGAAGCCCCCTCAACTACCTGCTTTACCAATTCCTTTTATCAGCTCGGTGTATGTAAAAAACACTTGGGGCACAATTCTTTTCTTTCATCTCTTCGAACAAAGCCTGCTTTACACGTAACAAGGGTTAAAACTCCCCAACTCAGAGATATTAAATGGGGTAAAAAAGAAAGGAACTCATTTTCCCCTTGTTCGACCAAAAAATCTTTTTTTATTTATTGTGTTATGTAGGATTCTGCAAACCTATTACTAAAAAATGTACGATTAGGCTAGCATAAGGGGTAATTAAAAGGTCTTTTTATGTAGTCAGGAACTATCAGTAGAAACTGTAGAATCTCTGTAATTTCAGGAAAAGACTATAGCGCACTACTAAATTTTAGGAGTTTCTTTTGCAACAGTTTAGAGAGAGAGAGAGAGAGAGAGCATACCGGAGCGTGAAAGTGGTGTGGAGAGGGCAGGTGAAGAAATTGCCCGCTTGAAGATGACCATTCTGATATCATGTAGAGAGAGAGAGAGAAGTAGAGCATTTAGCAGCGTGTATATAAAGAGGAATTCTACATATTCTTGAATTCCAGAGCTCTCAAATATCGAGAAAAGTTCCCATGATTCTACACCACCCTCAACAATTGGAGAAAAACTTCCCTGATTTTACAGTCACGATCGATATAGAGTCCTGTTTCCAAGTATATATAAAATCTCCCTCCGTTTCTCTCTCTGAAGAAGTCTCCCTCCCTTTTTCTCTCTATCAAGTTCCATGAAGTATAGAAAACTCTCCCCACTCTCTCTCACTAACAAGTCTTCCTCCTTTTCTCTCTCTCAAATGCCATGGCCATTCGATTATTGATTGAAATTTCAGAACTTTTGCCGTTTGGTAAGTCCCTCTCACCCTTGAACCCCGTCTCTCTGTATCTAACGAGTATCTCAGTCTCTCACTAAAATTTTGCTTTATGCTCTTTGTCACTAAAATTTTCCTCTATACTTGAGGCAATCGGGAAAGTAGATGAAGTAAAGCTCTCAGTTAAGTGATTTTGGATTGGTAAGATTTTTTAGTTTCATTCATCACTTTTGGTTCAAGTGTATGCTTACTTTTTGTGAATCTTGACTTTTTTCATTCATACGGCTTCTTTGTAATTGGGAGAGAGCATAGAGCAAAAATTTTAGTGAGAGACTGAGATACTCGTTAAATACAGAAAGACGGGGTTCAAGGGAGAGAGGGACTTACCAAACAACAAAAGTTCTGAAATTTCAGTCAGTAATCAAATGGCTATGGCATTTGAGAGAGAGAAAAGGACGAAGACTTGTTAGTGAGAGAGAGTGGGGAGAGTTTTCTATATTTCATGGCATTTGATAAAGAGAGAGAGAAAGGGACGGAGATTTTATATATACTTGGAAGCAGGACTCTATATCGATCGTGACTGTAAAATCATGGAAGTTTTTCTCCAATTGTTGAGGGTTGTGTAGAATCGTGGGAATTTTTCTCAATATTTGAGAGCTCCGGAATTCAAGAATATGTAGAATTCTTTTTTTATGTACATGCGGCTAATTGCTCTGCTTCTCTCTTTCTCTACATGATATCAGAATGGTCATCTTCAAGCGGGCAATTTCTTCTTCACCTGCCCTCTCCACACGTCTTTCACGCTCCGGTATGCTCTCTCTCTCTCTCTAAACTGTTGCAGAAGAAACTCCTAAAATTTAGTAGTGTGCTATATATATTATTTTCCTAAAATTACAGTGATTCTACAGTTTCTATTGATAGTTCCTGACTACATAAAAGGATCCTTTATTTTCCCCTAAAGCTAGCATAATCATACATTTTTTAGTAATAGGTTTGTAGAATCCTACATAACACTATAAAAAATAAGATTTTTTTGGTCGAACAATTGAGTTGGGGAGTTTTAACCCTTGTTACATGTTATTCTTAATTTGGCTTTCTCTAACAGGATTTGAATATCGTGATGATTTCTTTATTGGGTTTCAAATTTTGTTAAATTTTCATGTGGGTTTTGGTAACTTTGATGATTTATTTCTAATGGGTTTCAATTATTTGAAAAAACTATGCAGTCAATGAAATTGTTGATATGTTTGGAGTCTCAAATCTATATAGGCTGTGGCTGTTGTGATTCTTTCTGTAATGGGTTTCAAATTTTTTGTGGACTTCTCTCGTGGGTTTTGTGAACGTTGATGATTTCTCTCTAACGGGTTTCAATTGCTTGATTTTGAAAAAACAATGTAGTTAATGAGATTGTTGACATGTTTCGAGTCCCAAATCTTTAGATCAAGTTTCAAGTCCAGCCAGACAGCCGGAACGCACGAAGGAAGGACCATTCAATCCGCATATTAGATGAAGGGTTTATCAAAATACTGAAAATTTTCAAATGGAGTCTGGATGCAGAGAAAGCCCTTGAGGTTTTGAAATTGAGAGTGGACCATGGATTGGTCTGTGATCTCTTGAAGATAGACATAGAAATTGGAGATACAATCAAGTTCTTTAAGTGGGCTGGAAAGAAAAAGAATTTTGAGCACAATTCGACTGCTTACATGGCTCTGATACATTGCTTGGAGGAAGCCAGAATGGTGGGTGAGATGTGGGGTGTAATTCAAGAAATGGTTAAAAGCTGTTGCCCATTAAATTCATCTGAATTGTCTGAATTAATTAGAATTCTTGGGAAGGCCAAAATGGCAGAGAAAGCGCCTGTTCTATCCTTTACCAGATCAAGGCTCGAAATTGTTGCCCCACTACATATACTTACAATTGCTTGCTTATATTGCTGATGCAAGAGAACCACCTCGATAAGGTCCATGAGTTTTACAATGAGATGTGCATGAGGACAATTGTGTACCTGACACTGTGACTTACAGTGTTCTTATCTCTGCTTTCAGGAAACTAAACCGAGGAGGCGCAACATTTAGGCTTTTTGAAGAAATGAAGGAGAACCAACTCCAACCCACTTCAAAGATTTATACCACATTGATGGATCTTTCTTTTAAATCGGGGAGTTTTGATAAGGCATGGGCTTTGTTCAAAGAGATGAAAGAAAAGAATTGTGCCCCAAGTGTTTTTACATACATCGAGCTGATAAAAGGACTTGGTAAAGCAGGTAAAGTTGAGGGGGCTTACCAAATATTTTGTGATATGCAGGCCAAGGGTTGTAGGCCTGATGCTGTCCTTATGAATAACTTGATCAACATTTTGGGGGAGGCAGGTAAACTTGATGATGTGTTTAAACTTTTTGGGCAAATGGAGACATTTGGATGCCCCCCTAATGCGGTGACCTACAATATTGTCATAAAAGCTCTCTTGAAGTCAAATGCTCCGGCATTTGACGCCACCTGTTGGTTCGAAAAAATGAAGGAAAAGGGTATTACTCTTAGTTCTTATACATACTCAATTCTTATTGATGGGTTTTGCAAGGCCAGGAGGCTGGAGAAAGCACTACTGCTGCTTGAGGAGATGGATGTTTCCACCTTGTCCAGCTGCTTATTGTATAGTCTGATAGATGCTCACGGAAAATCAAAGCACTATGAAGCTGCAAATGAATTGTTTCAAGAATTGAAAGAGAATTGTGGGTCTTCTAGTTCTAGGGTATATGCTGTGATGATTAAACACATTGGCAAAAGTGGGCATATAAATGAAGCAGTCGGTCTATTTGATGAAATGAAGAGACTTCGTTGTACTCCAGATGTCTTTTCATATAATGCTCTCATGCTTGGCATGGTGAAGGCGGGCATGGTTGATGAGGTTTATTCCTTTCTTAGACAGATGCAAGAAGAAGGATGCAACCCTGATATCAATTCATATAATATTATTTTGAATGGAATAGGCAGGGCTGGTGGCCTTAAACAGGCAATGGATATGTTGACAAGAATGAAAATTTCAGTAGTCAAGCTTGATGTGGTATCTTACAACATGGTCCTTGAAGCTCTTAATCGTGCTGGTATGTTTGAGGAGGCTGCTAAGGTAATGAAAGAGATGAGTGAAAAAGGTTTTAAGTATGATCTTATTACGTATTCCTCGATACTTGAGGCAATCAGGAAAGTAGATGAAGTAAAGCTCTCGGTTAAGTGATTTTGAATTGGTAAGATTTTGTAGTTTCATTCATCACTTTTTGTTCTAGTGTATGCTTACTTTTTGTGAATCTTGACTTTTTTCATTCATTCGGCTTCTTTCTAATCGAGAGAAAAGCTCTTTAAATGCTTAGTAATAAATATCTTTTTTTTGAATGTTTACTTAGTAATAAATATCGGATATACCAATCATTACCATCATCATGATTATTGTTATTTTTTCTATGATATACAGCTATGATGTGGGTTTGTTCATATCTTTTTATGCAAACAAGAAATGCATATCTTTTTGTGAATAAAATGCTGAATTTTATTGGAATTGAGAATAATCTTGCTTGCCTCTTTGTTATTTTTAATTTTTGGGTTTGTTTAGTTTTACTTAGCTTCAATTACTGGGGGCTTCCCACCTCGTCTATGTCATTACTGTGTGATGTTATCAGGATGATTCTTGTAATTTCTTCCAATGGTGTGATAAGTATGTAGTAGATGTCAACAACATGAAAAATTTGAGATGCCGACATGCACCACAATGGAGTTACCTATAGAATCACAGGAACAACACCAAATAAATAATGAACCAATAACAGTGCAACAAGCCGGCATTGTTGACCTGACCCAATTACGAGATATTTTGTATTTTCTATGTATAACTATGTTTTTTCTTTTTGTATTTGTCTTTTTCATTTTCATGCAACGTCTAAGGTGAACCTGTAAAAGAAGAATGCATGAAAATTCAACAACTTTTATGGACATTATTTTGTTCTAATTAGAACTTGTTCTACATTTGATATGGACCTTATTTTGTGGCCACAAATTTTGAGTCCTCATCAAATATTGTGTTCATTCAATTGCATTTTCAATTATGTATGTTTAAACTATTATAGGTTATTGTTGAATGGGCTGGTTTTTGTTCATGAATTGTGAATTTACTTGACATGCAACACAAATGTTTTAAGAGATAACACACAATTGTTGTGTGCTATTATAATCTTCGAGAGAGAGAGAGAACACACAAATGTTGTGTGTATCACAAATGTTGTAAGGGACAAACAACAATGTTGTTTTATTGTTGAATGACATATAGTTTTTAGGTTGGGATATAGATGCATTAGTGGTGAATGTAAGTAGTGCTCAAGTTATTACAGGTTGTTGTTGTTGAATGGGCTGATTTCTTACTGCTTGCATTTTGCATGTGTGTTTGTATGTTGTACTGAAGCTATTATAGCACAGTCCAATGGAATATACGGAACCAAATCCACAATTGCCATGGCCACTGATAGATATGAGTATGCATGTGTGTGTGTACACGTATGTGTGAGGAATAGCGAGACAGCAAGAGAGAGTTTGTAAACGGTTTAAGAAGAAAGTCATCGACAACCTGCTTATGAAAGTTAAACACCTATTCCACTTCATATTTGTAAAAAGACTCAACAAATTGTGTTCCCACAATAGTTCAGAAAATATATTGAATTTTATTTGAGATAGTCGATTAGGAAGCTCGTGATTTGATATACAATATTGAATTGAGGTTGTGCTTGACATTGTCTACAAACTTCTTCAATTTTGAGGTGCAATGAAGTTTATCATGCAACACCTGCTTCAATTGATGTACAAATATATCTCTCTTTAGGACGCTTCTCTCACTCATAAATAAAACTCTCTCATAACTCTTTCTCTCTCTCTCTCTTAATCCAACGTACTTTACTGTCAATTGATATTGTATCTCAAAAAATAATATTCTTCAAATTAATGATATATAAATAATAACTAGGCGTCAATTTTAACATTTTACATTTTGTCTATTTAAAGCTAATCCAATACAGATACCCAGAACTTCTTTAACTTCCTAGAAGGTTATCAAACACAGAAACCAAGAATTTCTTAACTTCTCAGGAAGTTGTCAAACACAAAAACCAGAAACTTCTTAACTTCCTAGGGAAGTTATCAAACATAGAAACCAGGAACTCCTTAACTAACTTCTAATTTACAATTCTTCAGGAACTTCCAATTTACAGTTCATGAACTTGCTTCCTGTTATCAAACTGGCTCTTAGAGAGAGAAAGGAATAAGATCATAAGAGTAAAAAAACACCTGCTATCTCTGCTTTGATCCTCTTTTTTTTTTTGAAAATCCTCTGATCTGATCCTCATAGAACTTATAAATGATTCCTCTATGATATTGATAATTTATGTAATTTTTTTTGTTCTTCTCTGATAAAAGTGTGTTGAGACTTGAGACACTACAGAGTAATACTGGATATCCATCTTTTGATTGTCCTCTTCAGGTGAGGTACGTTATTCTGCAACATAGAGAGAGAGAGAGAGAGAGAGAGAGAGAGAGGATGACAACAGAGAGAGACGTATGTTAGAGATCACATAACGAAAACCCT